GTAAACAAACTGACACTGCCATGGCAAAACAAAGCCCAATAGACACAGAACACAACATATACAACGAAAGACTGGTGGGATCTCATGTGCCGGAGGGTAACAAATCCTGCTGAACATGCGGCGGTACCAATCGTACTGCTGTTGTACAAACCCGGTGAAATGTTTCTATTGTTGAAGACTATATGTTGGCGTTTAGATAAATTTGGTTATTATTTTTTGTATCCTTCGCCTCTCTCTTATTGGGAAATATTTTTCATCGCTTGTCGATTACGCGATCTTTTTAACCCGTGTTGGAAGGGTGCTGTAACATTGATGCTTATCCACATATTTTCTATTACATACACCATACTTTATAAGTTTTGTATGAATCAAGTAATTACTAATTACGTTTTGTGAGATGAAAACTCGTTTATTTCAACGTTATCTAATATATACTTTCTGTTATAAGAACTTTTAAATGTGAAGGTTACTTTATGAACATCTCCCCTTTTTTATGTGCATGTTGCAATGAGTTTTGGTTATTAGGAAAATTGAGTGTTGATGGTAGATTTTTAGTTGTTTCTGTTTAAATTCCAAATCTGTATAAGATATTTGCCACTGGACGTTAAGCTACCAACAATCCATCAATCAAACAGATACATGTGCCATATACATCTTTCTGTCAATTAGAGTTTAAAAAAAAGAACGTACTACTTTTTTATACTACAATGCATTTATTATAGTTTACTAAATACAATAAGTTTAAAAATCCCTTAATCTTTTCTTTATCCAATAAGGAAATCTGCGGCTCTTCGACGTTTGTTTATTCCCTGGATGTTTATTTTTTTTGGTAAATATAATTTTTTACAGCACTCTATATCTTGTATTTTCCTGCAAAAAAACGAGATACGATAAGAATGGGGGTGAACATTATTAGTTCATAATGAATATTCGTAAGGTCAACAACATTAAAAAATGAAATATTAAACAGATGTACGGTGTGTGTTAGTAGAGATGTGTTTAAGTTTCAACGATTAACGCTAGTAACTTAGGCTTACAATTTCGATTTTTTAGGGGGGGGGGTTAGGGATTTTTGTGGGATTTTAAGAAGAAATATTTCTGCCCCTGATGTAACTGTAATAAAATTAATTTCACAGTTGGCCAGCACCTTGAGTTAACACGATAATTGTCCCACATGTTGCCCATTTAATAATTTTCTGATCAAAATTTTCTTATTAGCTTCCCCCCAAAGAAAGTGCATTTCGCTTCAAAATCCCTCTCCCACCCCCTTACCCTCCACCCAAAAAATTAAATGATTGGTGCCTAGATTACAAAATACACAAGCTTAAGCATTAAACATAAGGTTCTTCCTTATACAATCATATCTAATTGAATAAACTTTAGGCAGCAACCATTTCATTTTTTGGGAGGGAGCTAAAATCAAATTTGAAATAAACCTGCAGGACCCGAAGTTATGGGGGACCAAATTTTGGATGAGCCTTTGCAAAATCAATTGCAGAATAAAAAAAAAAGTGGCCACAAAATAAGATGATTTGGATTTATTCAAGCGTTGATCCCTTATCAAAAACATGGACAGTCTTTCAACTGAACGAAAGTAAAATGTAAACAAGAATTAGAAAATAACACATTTATGTAAAAAAAAATTATTTCCAAAAATGATTTCGGTTCTTGAAAGTCAATATTCTTTTTTATTTTTGTTTATGCTTTTTGTCCGTCTTCTCGGGGCTGAGGGATTTAACGACCTAACTATACCTAACTTCTAATCTGGTCTGCATGGTCGGCGTTATATCAAACTGACGGAGGGGAGTTTAGCTACCTGACTATACCTAAATTGGTCTGCATCGATGGCCCTTTGCCGGGTTTGGTATATTAATATTCATATAAAATTATATATAATTAATATTTCTAAAAACAAAAAATGATAATTCAATAACGAAACATAAACAAAAGAAAATATTTAAAAGTTATAAATAATAATGAAAAGCGATAAGCCAAAAGTAAATCAAAACGAAAAATGATTATGTTGAAAGTTAAATAAGTTAAATAAAATACACCAAAAAAAGAGAAAAAAATGTAGGACGTAATGGTAAAGATAAGTGCCGTAACCCGTGATGGAAATTTAAAGCCGAAATTTGAGAGGATGCAGCCGTTTTGGAAAGAAAAAGGAAATGCCAAATGCTGGTGTGTGGATAAAATTTAGAAAGGAAAAAGTTAAACCCTCTTTATCGTGGAATACGCTATTTTGAAATAGATTTGAACTAAATGGAGAAAGGTAGACAAACTTTGACAAGTTTAGGCGAATAACGTACGTCAAAATATACGAATTTTGATGAATTTACAAGTTTTATGGCCAAAGGAAGATAACAATAAACATTTATTTGAAATGTTACGGTAATTGAGGTTAAAACACGTCAAAAACCTAAAATTCTCTAATAAGACAGTGAACTTCATGACTATGGTCGGTCTCTTTAGTAATTTAAACCTTTCGAAACGTGTGTGTTATAAATGAGTCTTGTATGTCAGCATGGCAAATGTGTTCCTTTTTTAGATCACTATATCGTACATTCACCGTCCATTCTCTGTATGTGTATCGTCCGTACGTGAGTCATTCGTGTGGTCAGCTTAAAATTTACAAGTGAGAGGTTTAGCTAGCTATAAAACCAGGTTTAATCCACCATTTTCTACATAAGAAAATGCCTGTACAAAGTCAGGAATATGACAGTTGTTATCCATTCGTTTGATGTGTTTGAGCTTTTGAATTTGCCATTTACGTAGGGACTTTCCGTTTAGAAATTTCCTCGGAGTTCGGTATTTTTGTAATTTCACTTATTAGAAGGTTTGTACACCGAACAAACAGACACTTAAAACATGAAGTAACCACTCTATTCGCCCATCATCATCTAATTGTCGACAACGTTTTGTATAATATAACGATATTGAGCAAATGTGTTTTGATTGCCTTACTTTAGGGGGTCTGGCATAGTTGAAATTTTGTTTTCATCGGTCATGTATGAAAAAAAAGCAAGCGATTATGTGATCCTGTCTCATGTCATATTTCAAACGCATCTTTGGTCATATTGTTAATGAAATGAAAAAAAAATGTAATTTCCAATCAAAGAGGGACGAAAGATACCAGAGGGACAGTCAAACTCATAGATCGAAAACAAACTGACAACGCCATGGCCAAAAATAAAAAAAAAAAAACAGACAAACAAATGTCTGCATTGCAACATACACTTTTGTGTCCGTACTGAAAACTGTTTTGCAAATATTTTCGAAGATCAGAAAAAATTGTGGTGAAAACAGCAGAATTTGGTGTAAGAAAAGCTGTAAAATTTAAAATCTAAACTTATCTATAATTTTTAGTTTATAGTTTGAAAGAAAATTTCAATTGGTGACATTCCTCTTGAAAAAATGCAGATGTCAAATTTACCACAAAAGTTACTGCTATCTTAAATGAACTCGAGTACACATTACAAAACACTTAATTAACGTAAATTAAAGTCGAAAAAACATGACTAACAAAACTTTCTGAAATTTAACATTCATATTGTATTTTTAAAGTAGCAGGTGTAATCAAATTAAAAAAATATTGATTAATAAGTTCAAGGCAGTTGTTATAACATGGCTCGTTTCTATGTATGTTGGCGTTTGTTTTTGTAGCAGTTCAGTGTTTCTGTTGTTCCGTTTTGTTTCCTCTTATAGTTGATGTGTTTCCCTCAGTTTTGGTTTGTGACACGGAATTGTTTCAGTTTAATTGATTTATGACTATTGAATAGCGATATGCTACTATTGCCTTTATTTAACATAATCAAAACCGTAAATGTATGCTTTATCAATGTCTTTAACTCAACATCAATGGTGCATTGAATCTGAAGTTAGGCAAGGAAACGCAAAGCTTCTACATATGATATTAACAAGTGTAATTTTTTCAAAATTTATCTTTCAGATTAGGAGATTTTATAATGCAGTTACATCCCTTAATCTGTATAGACTTTGTTCTCTTCAGTATATTTGATATGTAAGCATAATTGTTTTTTGGTATACTGATATTTATGAATTTCTTTTTTACGGAATTTCAAACAATTTTAGTTTTCAGTTTTATTATATAACTGATTAATCGGTTAAATACTTAACTTAAAAGGAATACAGGCCGTTTCTTACTTATTGCTGTAATGGAATTACGCCCCGTTTGTTTTGTAATGCAATACGATAAATTGATCAACATATTTTCTTAATTTTGACATTTTGAAATATTAACTGCCCGAAAAAATATGAAACCTTTTGCACTCATTCACTAGAGTCACTCGACGAAAATCATCATATCATGATTTCTTGGCATTTTAGAGTTCAATCTATCAATATGAAGAACAAATCCTGTTTATCAGTATGGGTATGCCAAAATACTTGGAGTAGAAGGCGTAATGACTGTTTTTAATAATCCATCACATACAAATGGCACCAGCCCCTTTTTGAACATTTGTCTTGTACTTTTTAAATCAACATTGAAGAAACATCCTTCATTATAAAACAATTAGGAGGTGTGGTATAATGCAAATGAGACAACAATCCACCAGAGTTCAAATGGATAAAAATTATAAAAAATCAAAGGTCACTGTATGGCCTTCAAAAATGAGAAAATTTCATTATAATAACATGTACCTATAAAATGCCCCGACATAAAAAAGGGGAAACAATTCAAAACAGAAAACTTAAGGCATAATTTGTACAATTCAATTTACAGAAAAATATACAGCGCAGCAAACAAAAAAAACTGTAAAAATCAGTTGCAAAAGACCTAACTCATTAGATCTGTACAAAACACACACAAACAAAAACTGTCATAAAAACATAGTAAACAAAACACAGATATAAAAGTACTCGCAGTAACAAAAAGTTAGTTCAAAGCCAATAAAAAATAGATAAATGATGTTTTCCAAGAATAAAGATTGTCAAATACGTTAACGTTTATTGGTTTTATAAAGTTATAAAGTTTTTACCAATTTCGTCTATTTTTCTTATCTTTCCATGTTTCCCATATAATTTGACACGTACATCATATTTCCCTGAAAATATTATTAGAAGAGGAATTAATTGAAAGTAAATTATATAATCCTTTTTTGATAGTTCATCCTATTAATTTGTAATCCATTGCATATAAATGTAATTAAATATTTTTTATTATTCAAATATTATGAATGAAAAAACAAAAGATTTATAAATACAACAGTTTGAAAAGTTACTGTTGTTTTAGAGTGATGTCTTAAGACATAATCTTTCAATCAGTTTAATTGAGGTCTGGAGCTGGCATGTCAGTAACTGCTAGTAGTCTGTTGTTATTTATGTATTATTGTCATTTTGTTTATTTTCTTTTGTTTTCTATTCTGACATTGGACTCGGACTTCTCTTAAACTGAGTTTTACTGTGCGCACTGTTGTACGTTTGTTTTTTGTACATTTGCTAGGGGGAGGGTTGAGATCTCAAAAAACATGTTCAACCCCGCCGCATTTTTGTGCCTGTCCCAAGTCAGGAGCCTCTGGCCTTTGTTAGTCTTGTATCATTTTTATTTTTAATTTTAGTTTCATGTGTATAATTTGGAGTTTAGTATGACGTCCATTATTACTGAACTAGTATACATATTTGTTAAGGGGCCAGCTGAAGGACGCCTCCGGGTGCGGGAGTTTCTCGCTGCATTGAAGACCCATTGATGGCCTTCGGCGGTTGTCTCCTCTATGGTCGGGTTGTTGTCTCTTTGACACATTCCCCATTTCTATTCTCAATTTTATTAAGACTGGCAATACAAGAGTGACATATCCAATGAATGTAGAGTAAAAATGTCAAAAACATTCAGAGATCAACATTATCTTGTGCAATGTCAAAATATAAGTATCGAGACAATAAAGAACCGTAACATATCATATCTGTTATTTTACTTAATGCAATATATGGTTTTGAGTTGAAATTCCAATAAGTGCCTCCTAAAATGCAATGTTACAATGTACATGAAACGAGATGTAGGAAAAGGCTTCATTGAACGATCTTGTTTTTCTTTTACCTACTATTATCTTTTTTAGGGTTTCAAATTACATCTTATTTGCGAAAAATTTTACTTATAATACTTACATTCTTTTCCTATAAAAAAAAATAAGAACAAGTGAATATAAAATCGTTTTATGTAATATAAATAACATACACCCCATAATTCAACGAAATGTTACACATAACGCTTGCTTAATGCAGGTAGATAAACTGCAAAAGAGAGGCAAAAGATAACAAATGAATATACAAACCGATAAGTTGAAAATAAACAGACAACGTCATGGCAAAAAACGAAGTACGATTAAAAGACAAAGACCAAATGTTTGTTTAATAAATTCATCATAGATACCACGATAACAAATGTGTACTCTAGACGTGCGTTTCGTCTACAAGAGACTCATCAATGACGATGAAATGTTGTTTGTTGTTTTACTTACCGGGATCTCCGTTGTCTCCTCTATCTCCTCTTGATCCTTAAAGTATATAGATAATATTGTTAGTACGTATTATTTCTTTAAAATTAGTATTTTAGATTATGCGTTCGTTTAAAAGTACAATTAAGATTAATTTACATTATTATTTTTTCCTTCCGGGTGTTTTTTTTACGTTAACTGCTAAATAATTATAGTTACATAAATAAGGATGAAATTTGAGTTCAAGTTTAAGGGCTTAAACTTTCCCGATGACCACAAATCAATAGAAAGTTGTAGCATAAAATTGAGAATGGAAATGGGGAATATTTCAAAGAGACAACAACCCTGACTTGGGACAGGCGCAAAAATGCGGCGGGGTTAAACATTATTGCGAGATCTCAACCCTCCCCCTATACCTCTAGCCAATGTAGAATAAAGAAACACATACGCAATACGCACAGTTAAAGTCAGTTCAAAAGAAGTCCGAGTCCTATGTCAGAATAGGTAATCTAAGAAACTAAGCAAAATGACAATGATACATAAATAAACAAAGCACTACTAGCATTTACTGACATGCCAGCTCCAGACCTCAATTAAACTGATTGAAAGATTATGTATGCATCATATGAAAATCAAGTACAATCCCTCCCGTAAGGGGTTTAGTATCATACCATCATAAAATATATGAGAAGAACATAACCCGTATCATGCCAATAACTGGTTTTAGATTAAATGTGTTTTTAATTCCAATGCAAAGACCCTATGAGTGAATCAATATTAATGCAAAAATATGCAATCCTTAATGACTTGACAACGGTATCGTAACTATATCCTTTCCGAAAAAGTCTGTTAAAAGGTTTGGTTAGCATGTTTGATTTGATTGAAAATTCATTTAAGTTCCCTCGTGGTCCTTTATGTCCTCGATATACATATAAGAAAAGAAGAAACAGCTATCAATCAGAGACCAAATGACGTACATCTTAGCAATTATAGATCACAATACAACATTTTGAAATGAGCAATACCCATATAAAATCACAAGCTATAAAAGGCATGACAAAATGTCAAACATTTCAAACGAAATAACAAACAGCCTTGTGTATGCACAAATCAATAAACAAAAACTCAATAATATATACAGCAAGACATGGGAACAACTGAATAAACAGCTCATGAGTTGGGATAAGCACATTTATTTAATGTGACGGGATTTTAAATGTTGGTGAACACCCTATCCTTCCCTTACCTAGGATTGTGATACAACAGTTGCACATACGTTCAAATTGTTTAAAATCAGTTAAAAGGGCTTGACGCATCAGATCGTTATAAAGCACAAAGCAAAAAGCCTAAAAAACAAAACAACAAAAGCACAAACAGACTATATTGTCTGTACATTCGTGTGTTATATCGTTTTAGATTGTTGCACTTTTGTATATGATCATTCCAGATAAAAAGTTCCATGATTGATCGAAAATGTAGCAAGCTTTAGGTTTTTGTAACACAGTGTCAATACCACTGCTGATGGTCTGCAAATTTATGACGTGTCTTTTTCACTATATAGTAGTCGCACTTGAGCACATTAAATAACAGATCTAATAATTATACAGTATATTTTTGTCGAAATAGATACATACATGTTGTGATGTTACACTATTGTTTCAGAAAAAGGGTGAAGGTTTGGTACCATTAAAACGTTTAAACCCGCTGCATTTGTTTGCACCTGTCCTAAGTCAGGAATCTGATGTTCAGTAGTTGTCTTTTGTTGATGTGGTTCATAAGTGTTTCTCGTTTCTCGTTTTTTATATAGATTAGACCGTTGGTTTTCCCGTTTGAATGCTTTTACGCTAGTAATTTTGGGGCCTTTTATAGCTTACTGTTAGGGCAGGGCTCCATGTTGAAGACCGTACTGTGACCTATAATGGTTTACGTTTATAAATTTTGACTTGGATGGAGAGTTGTCTCATTGGCACTCATACCACATCTTTTTATATCTATGTTCTCTATCAGCTAAAAACCATCATTGTTGCAAAACTTAAAAATCATGATTTAGTTAAGTTTTGGATGCAAAATATTTTTCTTTAAATGTAGTCACACCGACAATATCCAATGTGTTCAAACAAAACGATTTAGTATTTTGATAAGGAACTTACCATCCTGTCCGTCTGGGCCGTCTCGTCCTGTTAATGAAAATGTATGTTTTAGGATATGTTAATGTTATAGAAACTATTTGTTGTGACATTATCATATGTTATAATGTGTGATATTTTCGATTCGTTTACATACTATGAGTATATGAGATAAGCTGTTAATAGTTGATATTTACGATATGTCTCTAGATACCTTCAGTATATGAAGTTACAAGTTGAAAATAGCAACAATTTGAGATCATTACTTTTGATGAAATAGAAAAATGATTCAAACTTGTTGCAGTTTCGTTCCTTATGAATTATGTTAACCACTGTCTGGATATGTTTCAGGTTATGAATGCTTAAGGTAGAGTTACTTATGTCTCGTTTGCGTTATGGAGATGAATACAAAGGCGTCATATAAAAAACTTTCCATGATAGCCCCACTAGGATTATGTTAACTCTTTGACTTGAACTAAACTGACAGTACCTCAGATGGCAAAGTTTGTGTAGTGTTTCGTCGGCTTTAATCATAAGTCGCGCATGACAATTATATCACATTCTTAAAGAATGCGAGTTATTTTCGGTGAAGACGTTAGCTGATCAAATGATTATTATTAAATGTTAACAAAGTTTCATCGTCAACAACGAACTTAATTACAGTTGACGATAATATACATTTTGTAAAATGGACGTCACTAATGCAAGATAACACAGGCGTTTGATATTTGTATGTTTTCATATTGAATAAAGTCCTCATTCTTTATTATAACATCTGCAACGTGACAATTGATAAAAATCATGTACACGTAAATTACCATTTGGTCCAGTAAAACCTGAAATAGAGAAAGGAGCATTAAATGATTATATTATAATAAAGGTATTCATGGTTCACGGAACTGACATGTGACTTCTTATATTTTGATGATTTGTTATAATACTGATGCTATATAAACAGTTGATATTTACCTTTACATACCATGACTGTATGAAGTAACACGTTAACAGTTGATATTTACGATGCGTTTACATACCATGATTATATGAAGTAACAAGTTAACAGTTGATATTTACGATGCCTTTTCATACCATGATTGTATGAAGTAACAAGTTAACAGTTGATATTTACGATACCTTTACATACCATGATTGTATGAAGTAACAAGTTAACAGTTGATATTTACGATATCCTTTACACACCATGACTATATGAAGTAACAAGTTAACAGTTGATATTTACGATGCCTTTACATACCATGATTGTATGAAGTAACAAGTTAACAGTTGATATTTACGATGCCTTTACATACCATGATTGTATGAAGTAACAAGTTAACAGTTGATATTTACGATATCCTTACATACAATGAGTATATGAAGTGATAATTCAACAGATTGATACTCATACTACAGTGCATTAGTTTGTAAAATGAGTTCATTAATTGATCATTTGAACACGTTCTTTCGCGTTACAAATCTATAATAATCACAATTGGACGCAAATAGGTTTGATGAAATAGTAAATGATTAAAACGTTTTGCAGTCTGAACTCTTTTAATTTATGTCTGTTGGTTATGTTTACAATACATATGTAAGGGTCTCTATGCCTCATTTGTGGTATAGGATGAATACAGAGGCACCCATTTCTTATCGGAAAGGGCATGCAAATTTACCTTATCGCCTTACTTGGAACTATGCTATATATTTGACCTTTACTGAACTGACAGTTATGAAGGTAACAGAGTTTGTGCACTGTTAGCGCCGCTTTAATTAAAATTTGGAATTGGCATATATTTCTCATTCTAAATGAAGATACTTTGAAATTAGTTCATATAAACTTGCTTTGGTTAAAAAAAGAACATCTTACTTTGCAAGACAAACATTTAACGATTATTTTAACAAATTGCTTTTCAAAACAGAGATCATTAAGATGCTTTTTTTATCGTTTAAGATTTCATGATAATGTAAGTATAACTAGGTTTAACGACTACACATCCAGGGAAAAAGTGTTAACATCTGTTTAATGTTATGGAAATATTTACATAGTGATGATGTTATCTTAAGATGCTCTTCCTTTTTACTACACTAGAATGTAAGATGATGTTTTGATGTTCAGTTGATTTCCCTAGAGAATACTAGAGGAATGTGTGAAGATTCTTGAAATAACATTATACAACTCCAACTGCAACCGATTCATTTATTTTCACCAAGCTAGGAACATGACAAGGACACATTGTGTAAGTCGTTGGCCAAATATCTGTATCAAAAGTGATGTTTGTAATGTTTGAATGTTGGAGGTTTCAATATATTTATAAGCATATAGCTAGCTTATGTTGTACTTTTCTTTACTTACCTCTGTCTCCCTTGTCTCCTTCCGATCCTAAAATTATACAGATAAAATGGTTTTGTTTCTATGATAAATGTATTATTTTGTAGGGGCCAGCTGAAGCCCGCCTCCCGGTGCGTGATTTTCTCGCTGTGTTGAAGACCCATTGGTGGCATATGGCTGTTTTCTGCTCTTTGGTCAGGTTGTTGTCTTTTTGACGCATTCCCCGTTTCCATTCTCAATTTTATTTAAAAATTCGATTGAAACAACATTTAAACGCATATTAACATAATTAGCTTCTGATTTGTATATGGCTTTATTGGCAAATAACTCTCGTTAAATGAACAAAAATGACATCGACGTTCGACTGTTCGTCTTAGCAATAGTCCTGTAAAACCCTAGTTATGCAATGAACTAATCTTTAATGCACCATAATAAACAATTTTCTAAAACTGCAGTTGCATTTAAAATATGCAATGTTATCAAGTAAAACAGTTTGGTATAAAATTTGCATATGCAATATTTTATGAACGCTTCGATGACTCTAAAATACCATGAGTATATGTAACAACAAGTTAACAGTTGATATTTCTTTACATAACATGAGTAGAAGAAATAACAAATTAACAATTTGATAACCATAGTGATACCAAACTGCATTTGTTTGTTAAACGTGTTCCTTTATTAAACAAGGTTATTCTCGGTAAGAATTAATAATGTCAACAATTTGAGCCTACACGTTTTGATGATATAGTAAATAATTAAAACTGTTTGTAGTCTCAATCCTTTTAATGTATGTTAACCGATGTGGGTAATGTAAAATTAGGCTTTATAATGCTTATTCTAGAGTAACGTATGCTTCATTTGCTAAATGTGGATGATTACAGAGCCACCCACGTCATGGTATTGATTTGACTTTTACTGTACTGACAGTAATAAAGGTGGAAGAGTGAGTGCACTGAGTTAACCCCCAATGCTAATGATTTTTTTTATATTGAGCCTGCTACAAACGCAACAAAATATCAGTGTGTATCTGAACTCGTCATAGGTACAACTAGTACGCTAGACGCGCATTTTGTGTAGTCTACAAGAGACTCATCAGTGACGATCAAATGTTTTACTTACCGGTATTTCCTGTGTATCCCCTGTCTCCTTTTGATCCTAAAAGTATATAGATAATATGGTAAATATGTTTTATTTCATTGATAAAATTATCTAAGAAAATGCATTTGATTGCAATTACAATTAAACTTAATTTTTCATTCGTAGCTTCTGTTTCTAAAGATTTTTTTATGACGTTAATTGCTATATAATTGTAGTTACATACATAATGATGACATTTACGTTCAACTTAAACATTGCTGATGACGGCAAATTAATAGAAAGTTGAAGCATGTTTGATTTTATCGACAATTCATTTAAGTTTCAATGTGGTCTTTTATTTGTGCATTTTTATTGCAAATGCCAGATTTGTCAACAAGAGAACAAATGTAGATGATAGCAATTATAGATCACCATACATCATTTTTAATCGAGTAGAAACCACTATCAAATCGCAAACTATCAAAGACATAAAAACGGAATAACCAACAGTCTTATTTTTGTACAAATCAATAAACGAAAAATAAAAAATATATACAGCCAGATACGACTACTAAAGAATAAAAGGCCCATGATTCATTTAATGCGACAGGATTTCAAATGTTGGTGAACGCCCAATCCTTTCCTTTAAAGGTATTGTTGTATTACATCTGAACACAAGATTAAACTGTTTAAAAGGTTAAAAAGGGCGTGACTCATCAGATCGACACAAAGCAAAAAGCACAAAAAATAACTCACAAAAAGTACCAATCATATTGTCTTTACATTATAGGGTTATATAGTTTTTGTCTCTAATTTCTCAATCTGCGATGATTGTTTTTAAAATCAATGAGATCAACATCAATCACAATCATTAAAAAATATCTTTAAAAAGCATCGGAAAATCTGATAATGTTTTCTTTTTCAATTTTGACTTTATTCTTCAAACCCGTTTTGAAATTTATAAACCTTCTGTACATATATTTCATTATTTAAATCATATGCATTTTCATTCTTTCTTTAAAGCAAATTAAATTAAATAAAGTGTTCACCAAATACATACCGGTCATGCCCTGTTGTCCTGTTGGTCCTGTTGGTCCTAAAAGAGAGTAAGTATATCTTACTGTAGTCGACATACTCGCATCAAATTTTAAACTTTCTCTAGTAAAGTTGACTTTAGGTGGATATGACTTTTATTTTCACGTCCGTTTTGGGTTATTATACTACTCACGAGAAAGTTTTAAAAAACTTCCATTGAGATTGTAGTTAATGTAATACACTTTAAGTCGTGTATAATTAGGCATTGCAAAGCTTAAGGTTGAGTTACTTATGTCTCGTATGCGTTAATAGGATGAATTAAGAGGAATCATCGGGAAGGGGATGCAAATTTACAGGATCGCCCAACTAGGAGCATGCTACATATTTGACTTTAACTGAACTTACAGTACTGCAGGGGCAGATTTTGTGCTGTGTAACTCGGCTCTAATCATAATTCCCAATAAACAATTATTTCACATTTTTAACATTTGTTAAAAGAAAAGTTACTTTAAAAATATTTTATTCACAACTGTTTTGGATAAGAAAGGACATAATTTGTTGTTGAAAAAACTCAACAATTATACAAACAAATGTATCTCCGAAATCCGAAACAGAGATAATAAAGATCCTTATTTCTTCTAATAAGATGTGTAACAACCAAAAAAGCCTAGACAAAGATTTTAACATCCGTTTAATGTTGTATGATTATTTGTTAGTAATGATTTTTTTCTTACGAAGGTCTCCAATTTATCAACTTAAATGTAAGGATATACACTCATGTTTAATTGATCACCCTAGAGAATACTGGAGGAAAATGTGCAGCTTTTGAATAATAGCCTGATATAACTCCTGCTACAACTAATTTCTTTATTTTGATCCCTCTATGAACGCAAGCAGATCTTATTGTGTCTATGACCAAATGTTTGTATAATAAACTCACCATAGACAACAGACTAATCAGTAACACTAGAATGAAAAAAAGCTAAAAAGGCCAAATAAAATACGAAGTTGAAAAGCATTGAGGAGGCAAACATTATTCTTGTATTGCATTAAGATTGGAGGTTTCAAAACACAGTTAAATGTTGTATGTTATTTTTACTTACCGGTATTTCCTTTGTCTCCTTTTCCTCCTTTCGGTCCTAACAATATAAAGATATAATGATAATGGTTTGTACGAACAGTTTCTTTGATAAATGTATTTTAAAAGATGCGTTCGATTGAAACTACAATTAAATCCATATTTCATGTTGTTTGTTTTTGTATATACAAAGTATGAACAAAAAATAAATAATATATACAGCAACACACGACAACTTCTGAATTAAGCATCATGACTTTGGATAGGAATATTCATTAATGTGACGGGGTTTGAATTTTTGGAACGCCTATTCCTTCGCCTTCTTTGTATTGTGATGTAACCCCTTAACAAAAGATCGAACTGTTAAATATCAGTTAAAAAAGGCATGACGCATCGGATAGGTACAAAGCACAAAGCAGCACACAAGAATTTCCGAACCTACAGTCTTCAAATTATTGTGTTATATCGTTTATTTTGTTGATGATCAATCGAGATAAAAATATCAATTATCGATCAAAAGTTTAATAAGTTTTCGGATTTTGTGACACAGTGTCAATACCACTGCTGGTGGTCTGCAATTTAATAACGTGTTATTTATATTATATAGCAGCCATACTACATTTATTAAAAAATCTAATCATAAAACAATATATCTTAAAAAAACACAAAACAGATAGAGAC